AAATAAAAAACAAAAAAAATTCGATCATGGATTACAAAGAAAAAAAAACAAACATTTCGATCATGGATTACAAAAATTCGATCATGGACTACAAAAATTCTATCATGGGTTAACAAAAAAAAGAAAAAAACAAAAAATTCGATCATGGATTATAAAAAAAAAAAAAAACAATTCGATCATGGATTACAAAAAAATCGATCAAGTATTACAAAACATTCGATCATAGATTACAAAAAAAAAAAAAAAATCTGTTCTTCGCAGAGCCATTTTACATAAGCCATTTTAACTAAAAAATCCACCTCTAAGTGAATAAATTACATCCAATTGAGTACATTTTCTGATAAACAACAATATAAAGAATCAAAACCCTAAATTTTTAACACATTATTTCTAATATATCATGAAAAGAAAATCAAAAGGCGGAAAAAAAAAAAAAAAACAACGGAATTTTGGTTCCGCAGACATCTCTGTGTTCATCTCAAATTTCATGCTGTAATTGACCAAATTACGTAAAATTGAAAATTTTAAATCATAATAGACACAATAAATGTTAAAAACCCTACAAATTGAACTCATTATCTTCAAAATATGTCGTGAAATAAATCATATGGCGGAAAAAAAAAAAACCCAAACTTCTTACCTGATTTTGTGAACCGAAGCCTTCAATCTCCAAAAAACTCTGTTTTTCTCAACGATTATTACAAATTAGTAACAAAAGGTTTTGATGCACAACTTTACGGTCAAAATGCCTGTAAATTTTGAAAGATTCATGCCCTATTTGGCATGAAACACAAGGAAAGGCGGAATTCCTAAAAATACAAGTTTCGTGATCCAAAAACACCAAAATTTTCAACCATTTAATCCGTGTAAAAGCTGAATAAAGCTGTTTACAGCCTACAAAATAGATCACATGCCAAAAAAAATAAGAAAAATGATAAAAAAATGACAAATTTCGAAGAATCCAGTGAAGAACACTGTGCAACCCGTGTTCTTCACGGACTCGCCGATTCCGTACAGTGAATCGGCGAGTCACTGTACAAAATCATCCGGTTCTCTCTAGAACCGGACGATTCCTGTTTTTTTAACCGATTCGATCCCCCCATGGCGATTCCCGAGTCGAACCGGGCGAGTCCGGTTCGACTCGGCATTTTTTTAAACACTGCGAAGAATGGTATTTATCAAGGTCTTAAAACATGGGCAAGCTGGATTGGAACTGGTTGGTTTGGATCGAAAATTGTCCGGGGCAGTCTGATTCAGAACCGATCTTACTTTATTTTTTTAAACTTTGGTACTTAGTCTTCTTAGAGTTTTAAGACAGCCCGTGGGGATTGACCATCCAGTGTACCACACAAGCCTATCTAGGCAACCTAATATGGTTATTCTTTGAGTTATAGCTAGCTTTCTCTCTGTCTTTCCCTTCGTGTCCTTCAAGCCATTAACTCTAGTATAAGGGAAAATATAGATGGAGTACATTTACGTTTAGTACAAGATGGTCACATTAATCTCGATCAAGCTCAATTATTCTATTGATTAAGCTCAAATTTCAAAAGAAAATTTTTTCAACTTTGTGATACATCCAAACTATCAAATTTCGCATCAAATGATTGTGAGTAATTGCGACCACCTTGTATCAAAAGTAAGTAATCTCATTGTAGACAATTATTTAGTATAAAACAGAATGCTATTTTTATCATTATCATCATCCGAGTTTCATCCCAAGTTCCCAATTACTCGAGGATGGCAATACATCCTGTCACACTACTCTACTATATTAATGACCATATTGTCAAGGGCCCACCTCCTTTACTGAAATTGCTTTAGGATAGCGATAATTCTTGCTCTACAATTCTACTCTATTAAAGACTATACTATCAAGGGCCCACCTCGTAAACTTAGTATGTGTTAAGGGAAAGTTTACGATCCTCACCTTTTTTAAACCAATAAAACACAAGCTCGCAATTTCACAAAAATAAAATGATATTTTCATGTCTCCGATTGGATCTCATCATATTTCCGGAACTCATCAAGACCCGTTGTTGCGCCATGTAATTTTGCCACAAAATTAGTGGCATTTTTGTAATTTACCTCATCATCACATCAGGGGATGTAAATTAGCTTTCCACCCAAACTGAGCCCTCGCACATTCTCTCCCCTCTCCTTACCTCATGCGACCCAATAAATACCCCACCCCCCCTTTGTCCTGCTCTCTTTCTCTCTCCACTCAAACTACCGTTCTATCTCTCTCTCTCTCTCCAGTGGCGAACACTGTTGGAGTCCGAACCCTATAAAAGCCGCACATTCCCCAAACCCACAATTTTAAATAACCAGTAGGAGCGGGCATCTCCTCTCTCTCTCTGCCTGCATCAAAATGGAGCTCTTCCTGCGATCCGCCCTTTTCGTCCTCTTTCTCTCTTTGTGTTCCGCTACCTCTTCTAATCTCTCCTCATCTGATGCGGATGCCATTGCCATTGCCAATGCCATTGCCAATCCCAATCCCAATCCCAATCCCAATGCCACTGCAGTGCATGAGGATAGCTTTGCGGACATCATTGATCGTGCCCTAGAAAAAGAGTTCCCTGAGAACGAGCAGGCTGAAGGTCAGTTGATTGCATCTCTCTCTACTGATTTGTTGCTGTGAAGAGGAAAAACATTCATTAATTTGCCGTCTTTTGCTTCCTTTTGATGTATTTCTTTATGCTATAAATACAAGGTGAAGCATTTCCTCAAAAAAAAAAAAATCATCGATTTGATCGGCTCTTTGAGAGATTTGGATGGAATGGTGAGCACTGAACCTGATAATTTATATCCTCTCTCACATAATGTTGATAGTATGGTTACGTTGTGAATTGTTCAATTATGATTTTTTTGGAAATATTAACTTTACATTTATTTGTTTGTTTATCCGGATCTGGTCTCTGGGCCGTGAAATGTGGGTTTGATAGTATATGTCATGGTGTATCAGTGAGATGATAAACTTAGCTATTAGTCAGCTGATCAATGAAAATTTGCAGTGCGCCAGCAACCAATTTGTTTCATATGGCTTTCACTCCAAGAGGTATTGTTTAAATGTGGTCGTCTACTGACAAAATTAGGGTTTGATTCTAGAGAACATTTGGCCCCAAATGTCGATGGATTCCTCTTTTTATGCTTGGTTTTCCATATAGAAGTCTTACCTTCTGGGAGATTTAGCCGTCCCTTACAATAATAAATTTCTATGTAATATGGTAAGAGAGTTGATGATAGTGCGGCTGTGAAATACAAACTGAGATTTCTATAGGTGGGCAACTTGTATTAATGTAATTGTTATTTTGATGTTACTAGTATTTAGATCAGAATGGAAAATTTACTATTCCCAAAAGAACACTAGGCACTTTTGCAGGTGTTCATTCATGGGCATTTCTCAGGTATTCATGAGAGAGAGAGAGAGAGAGAGAGAGAGAGAGAGAGAGAGAGAGAGAGAGAGAGAGAGAGAGAGAGAGAGAGAGAGAGAGAGAGAGAGAGTAGAGAGAGTAGTACGTAGAGTAGTACGTAGTACGAGTACGTAGTACGTAGTACGTACGTACGACGTACGTACGTACGTACGTACGTACGTACGTACGT